AAGAACCACATGATCTTATCAATAGATGCAGAAAAGGCATTTCACAAAGTTCAACACCGATTCATGATAAAAACTCTCAACAAAATAGGAATAGAAGGGAAATTCCCCAACATAATAAAGGGCATTTACACAAAGCCAACAGCCAACATTCCCCTTGAGAACAGGAACTAGACAAGGATGCTCTTTATCACCACTCTTACTCAACATTGGGCTGGAGGTCCTAGCCAGAGCCAATTAGGCTGGAAAGACAAATAAAGGGCATCCAAATTGGTAAGGAAGAAGTAAAAGTATCTCTATTTGCAGATGATATGATCTTATACACAGAAAACCCCAAAGAATCCACAAGAAAACTACTGGAACTAATAGAAGATTTCAGCAAGCATCAGGATACAGGATAAACATATAAAAGTCAGTTGGATTCTTCTACACCAACAAAGAGAATTTCAAAGAGGAAATCACCAAACCAATACCATTTACATAGCCCCCAAGAAGATAAAATACTTAGGAATAAATCTAACCAGAGACGTAAAAGACCTACACAATGAAAACTACAAGACACTGCTGCGAGAAACCGAAAGAGACTCACATAAGTGGAAAAACATACGTTGCTCATGGATAGGAAGACTCAACATTGTGAAAATGTCAGTTCTACCCAAAGTGATCTACAGATACAATGCAAGCCCGATCCAAATTCCACCGGCATTTTTTAATGAGATGGAGAAACGAATCACCAACTTCATACGGAAAGGGAAGAGTCCCTGGATAATTAAAGCATTACTGAAGAAGAAGAACAAAGTGGGAGGCATCACACTAGCTGATTTTAGAACCTATTATACTGCCACAGTAGTCAAAACAGCCTGGTACTGGTACAACAACAGATACACAGATCAATGGAATGGAATTGAGAATCCAGACGTCAGTTCAGCCACCTATGAGCAGCTGATACTTGACAAAGGCCCAAAGTCCGTTAATTGGGGGAAAGATAGTCCCTTTTACAAATGGTGCTGGCATAACTGGATATGCATCTGCAAAAAAATGAAACAAGACCCATACCTCACAGCATGCACAAAAACTAACTCAAAAGGGATCAAAGACCTAAATATAAAATCTAAAATGATACAGATCATGGAAGAAAAAAAAGGACAATACTAGGAGCCCTAATATATGGCATAAACAGAATACAAAGCATTACTAACAATGCACAAACACCAGAAGAGAAACTAGATAACTGAGAGCTCCTAAAAATCAAACACTTAAATGCTCATCAAAAGGCTTCATCAAAAGAGTAAAAAGACAACCTACAGACTGGGGAAAAAACTTTGGCTACGACGTATCTGATCAGGGTCTAATCTCTAAAATCTACAAGATACTGCAAAACCTCAACAACAAAAAGACAAACCAATTAAAAAATGGGCAAAGGATATGAACAGGCACTTCACCAAAGAAGACATTCAGGCAACTAACAGATACATGAGGAAATGCTCACGATCATTAACCATTAGAGAAATGCAAATCAAAACTACAATGAGATACCATCTCACCCCTACAAGGCTAGCATTAATCCAAAAAACACAAAATAATAAATGCTGGAGAGGTTGTGGAGAGACTGGAACACTTTTACACTGTTGGTGGGAATGTAAAATGGTACAACCACTTTGGAAATCGATTTGGCGCTTCCTTATAAAGCTAGAAATAGAAGTACCATACGATCTATCCATCCTGCTCCTTGGAATATATCCTAGAGAAATAAGAGCCATCACACGAATAGATATATGCACACCCATGTTCACTGCAGCACTGTCTTAATAGCAAAAAGATGGAAACAACCGAGGTGCTCATCAATGGACTAATGGATAAGCAAATTATGGTATATTCACACAATGGAACTATCCTACGCAACAATAAAGAATAGTAATGAATCTGCAAAACATCTCATAACATGGATGAGTCTGGAAGGCATTACGCTGAGTGAAATTAGTCAGTCACAAAAGGACAAATATTGTATAAGACCACTATTATAAGAACTTAAGAAAAGGTTTAAACACAGAAGACAACATTCTTTGGTGGTTACCACGGTGGGGAGGGAGGGAGAGGGGTATTTACTAACTAGATAGTAGACAAGAATTATCTTAGGTGAAGGGAAGGACAACACACAATTCAAAGGAAATCAGCGTAACTGGATGAAACCAGAAGCTAAGAAGTTTCCTGAACACAACCAAACACTTCAAGGGACACAGTAGGAGGGGAGGGGTCTGGGGACCATGGTTTCAGGGGACATCTAGATCAACTGGCATAACAAAGTTTATTAAGAAATTGTTTTGCATCCCACTTCAGTGAGTGATGTCTTGGATCTTAAAAGCTAGCGAATGGCCATCTAAGATGCATCAATTGATCCCAACCCACCTGGAACAAAGGAGAATGAAGAACACCAAAGACACAAGGAAAATATTAGCCCAAGAGACAAAAAGGGGCACATAAACCAGAGACTCCATCAGCCTGAGACCAAAAGAACTAGATGGTGCCCGGCTACCACCAATGACCGCCCTGACAGGGAACACAACAGAGAGTCCCTGATGGAGCAGCAGAAAGGTGGGGTTCAGAACTCAAATTCTACTAAAAAGACCAGACTTAATGGTCTGACTGAGACTGGAGGGACCCCAGAAGACATGGCCCTGGACTCTGTTAACTCAGAACTAAAACCATTCCTGAAGCCAACTCCTCAGACAAACATTAGACTGGTCTACTAAACAATACTCGTAAGGAGTGTGCTTCTTAGTTCAAGTAGATGCATGAGACCAAATGGGCAGCTCCTGTCTGGAGGTGAGATGAGAAGGCAGAGAAGGTCAGGAGCTGGTTGAATGGACACGGGAAATCCAGGGTGGAAAGGAGTGTGCTGTCACATTACAGGGATAGCAACTAGGGTCACATAACAATGTGTGTATAAATTTTTGTATGAGAAACAAACTTGAGCTGTAAATTTTCACTTAAAGCATAATAAAAAATAATAATCTGTCTGCAAACTGTCATCAGATGACATAGTGAGCTGGGGGACACTGCTGGCCCCAGGGAGTGGTGGCAGGTACTGGAGGAGAAAGCAGTGACTCACCTGGGAGATCTGGGGGAGGCCGCCACAGTCCGCCATCTAAGAGAGAGGGGGCTGGTCAGTGCTGGTCAGACCTCGAGAAGTGAGCCAAGAACAAGGCTCTCCATGAACCAGTTCCAAACGGGTGCCTGCCTCGTCCCTGCCCTGCCAGCTGATGTGCCCTGCTGAGGCAGCGAGTGGGGACTTGGGTGTATTATGGGGGGGGAACCCCCAAACCTTCCTGGTAAGGCTTCTGCGGCTGTTATTACTATCTCTCACAGCATCTGCCTGCGTCTTCCCGGAAGCCATTACTTTCAGCTTATGATGTGCCAGGCACTCTGCTAGGCCCCATGAATATAATTTGTCCAATCACAACAGCAGACGAATGTCCCATTAAAGAGGCAGAAACTGGGTGGAAGAGGTGAGGAGTTTGCCTGGTTCCGGCCAGGATCTTCCTGACCTGAAAAGATTCAGTGTACGAGGCCTTTTAAACACATTTTGTTAAAGATTATCTCAAAAGGAAACTGCTAGATTGAAAAGCTTTGGGCCTACTGGGGCTTCTGATCGGCTATCCTTTGCAAACATTCTAACTCTCAAAATTACTGTTAAATCATCAAACCTACAGCTATCTCCACTTAATTCAGGCTGTTTCAAGCCAAGTGTGACTATTTATGCAGGAATGGAAAAGCAGGGCTAGAGCCCCCAGGCTTGAAAGGATGGCTTGTAAGGGCGTGGGACTGGAGAGATCAAGGGAGAGGGAAGAGGTCTGCAGCCATCCTGTGTCCATGCAGAAGGCTGAGGTCAGATCCTGAGGTTGGTCTCAGGCCCACGCTAACCTGGGGTGGTCCTCAGCCTATCATGAACAGAAATGACCAGACCCTAGAACTTGAACACAGAGGGCAGCCCCACAGGGTTGGGTGGTAGGTAGGGGGAGTCTAGACTCAGGCTGAAGTGGGTTCTAATCCTGGCTTGAACATAAAATTGGCCACATGACCTTAGACAGGTCACTTACCCTTTGTTGTGGGTTGAATTGTGTCCCCCCAAAAGATAAACTGACTTGCTAACCCCCGTACCTGTGAACGTGACCTATATAATCAAGTTAAAATGAGGTCATACTGGATTAGGATGGGCCCTAATCCAACAACTGGTGTGCTTATAAGAGAGAAATCTGGACACAAGACACAGAGGAAGAACAATAGAGACAATGGCAGTGTCTCTGTGTGTCTTCTCTCTTACAAGGACAGGGCTATGACTGGATTAGGACACATGCTACTCCTTGTGGTCTGCAGATTCTTGGGGTCCCACAGAGGAGTCCTTTCACCTTGGCAGCCTGAGATTACCAACCTGTGTCCAATATATGTTTGTGAGGAAATAAATTAAGTAAATTATTTCCGTGGTTTCTGACCACCAGCTTTGCCTCAATCAGAGACAATTCTGCAGAAAACGAGGGGGTTGATAAGACAGAACAAATGCAAAGCACCATTGTTTCGCCTGTACCTTGAGGAGGGTGGTCTTCGTGGGGTCCAGCTTAGAGTTGCACTCCACCTGTACAAGGCAAGGCAGAGGAAATGTGTTCATTTTCTACCCGGAGCCAAAGTCCTAACCTTTCCCCTTCCCTGCCACTCTGCCACGCTTGTCACAAACTCCAGCATTCCTATTGGTATAGAAGAAAGGGTGTGGGCTTTGGGATCAAACAGACGTGAGTTTAAATCCCAGCCCTGCCATCATTAGCTCCGTGACCTTGGACAAGTGACTTCTGTAGAGCCTCAGTTTCCTCGTCAATAAAACGGAGATATTGTCTTTTTTAAAGAGTTGTTGTAAAGATTAGCTAAAACGTAGAAGGTGCTCCAGAATTATCTGCTAAATGAATGGCCTTGTTTAATCATCTGCTGCTAGTGATTCTACACGTTCAACATCCCCAGTTCCAGCAACTTTTCCTCATATGAAATCAAATCCACCAAGCTGGCTTCTCTCTTTAATTTGTCAATGGTTCTCTTGACAAAAACAAAAAAACCCCAAAAGCTGGACAGAACATTCATATGCTACCCGCCATGTTCAAAGTGCTTACAGTAGAACTATCACTTCCCTTGATATGGACAATATATCTCTATGCATCCTATGATTACGTCCACTGGGTCAGCCCACAAGAAACTCATGGTTCATTAAGACAGCCCACATCTTTACCTCATGAACATCTGCAAACCCCACTCTGCAGCCCACTGCACATGGCGCTCCACTACCCTAGGGCTCTGGTCAACAGCCTAAGTCTCCTGTCTCCCCAGCTGTGGGGCTATCGGAAGCACAGAGTCTTCCCTTCGCTTCCACAACATTGCAGGTGGGAATTAAGAGGTGAAACGAGCCAGAAAGCCTTGCCTAAGCCCCACTCCCCAGGTGCCTCTGTTCCCCTGCCAGACCACCAGGCATCAGCTGGGTTTGTAAGCCCCACCTGATCCCCAAATGCAAGGAGGGCCTCTTGGCCAGGAAGCCAAGTGGCAAACACAGCCATATAAATAAGCCAGTGGCAAGCAGATCGGTGGTGAGGGGCCTGGGAGAGGAGACAGAGGGACTGTTGCCAAGCAACCAGGGCTGACAGTCACCAGGGAAGGAAGCTGGTGGTTGGGACCTCTGCTCAAAGGCCATTATGGCATTTCAAAGATGTCACCTACCCTGGTGGGGGTGGGGAGGGAACAGAGGTGGACAGGGGGATGGGGGACTCTACCCAGAGTCAACCCGACTTGGGCTGTTGAACTAAACAGACATCAAAGCTCAGGCCTCAGTTCTCGGTCCCCATATCCTTCACCTCAGGAAGACACAGCTCTCTTTAAAGAGCTGCCCAGGGCCCACTTCCTGCCCAATGCTCACCCCCACCTCCACTGAGGCTAGGCTCGCTCCCTGCCCTGGAAGGAATGGTGTGGAGAGGGGCGGGCTCTGGGCCAAAGGCAGCGGGCCTTAGAAGCCTCTGAAAAGAGACCTACACAAACCACAAGCTCCCGGGCAGGTGTTCACCGGGATGCCTGGGTTTTTCTCCCCCTTCTGCCCCAGGCACTGGGGAGGCAGAGCTGCGGCAGGAGCCTCACGCACCGATGAGGTAGTGGACAGCCATAATGGAGGCAGGGCACGGGGGAATGGAGCCCGCGCCTGGAGCCCCATCTCACCGCAGCTCGGTTATCTCCCTGAGTCTCAGTTTCCGTACCCATCAAATGACATCATAATGCCAATCTCACAGGGCATCTACAAAACATCTGGAGCAACATCTGGCTAGAGGGGATGGACCACAAATGAAGGGCCCTTTGCTTCCTTCCCAAATAGAGGCATTTTGAATCTCAGAACTAATCATTAACCTAAACAGACAAGAAACTACAGGCTAACACTTATTAAGCGGTTACTACTTTATCTTATTAAATCCCTCCATAAGCCCTCGGAGGTAAGCGGGAAACTCGTTTTCAAAACAGAAGCAGAGGATCAAAGAGGCTGGGGGTCTTGGCCAGGGTCACCTGGTTGCTAAGGGACAGGCAGGGTGGAAACAGTCTAAGACTCCAAAACCACAGGCCCTTTCTGCTCGAAAAACTGCCCAAATGTTCTGCTGTGTTCTCGCGCCATCTTCCCCCAGCCCCCTTGTTTGGGTGGAGAGTTCATTCTCCGCCTCTCTGGGCTCTTCCAAGCACGGAGCATCCTCCCCACTCGCTGGCCACGTGCACTTATAGTCCGCAGGAGAGACTGCAAGGAAGCCACCAGGGGCAGTGGAACACCTAGCTCAACAACAGCCTGGTTTCTACGTACCACAGCGTCCACGGCAGGAGAATCGTCCCCAACCACCAACAATGCAGGGCACCTGGGGCAGGGAGAGAAGCGTGGAGAATTAATTAACACAAGGTTCATTTCAAGATTCTCACACTCTCGGACCTACCAGGCTAGGGACAGGATCATAAAAACATTTATTTTGATTTCTGGTTTCCCCAGTACCCTTTGCTCTTTTTATGTCATCTTCCCTCTGTCCTCAGCTTTGCTCTTGGGAGAAGATGGTTGGTAGTCATTTACACTTTAGTATGAGTTAAGCACTTCTTTACCCTGCTGCTTTTTATTTTAAAGTCACGCTCTCTTCAAAGAAGGATGAGCAGGACTTTGCTGGTAATCAAGACCACAGACAAGAATGGCAGAGCTGACAATAGAAACAGCACGTGAAGAGGTACAGCTGTCAAACAGTACGGGGCACTCAAAGAAGAACGAAAAGACACAGTCGTTACTGGTGGAATCACAGTCTGTTGTGTCCATGACTGTCTTCTCCTCCTAGATTTATAGAGCACTTTAGGGTGGGTCCTGGGTCTTATTCATCTCTAAGCTCTGTGAAGCTAAGCCTAACACAGCATTTGACATAGGTGAGATCGAAGGCTCCAACCTAGGTAATGGGGACATCCTAGGAATTAAAGTCGCCTGCACAGGGAGGAGACCGAGCAAACCAGGCTATGCTCAGCCCCTGGTTCTCATTGACCGCAATGCCGTACCACGAGTGTGGCAACCCCACCATACCCAGGAAGAAGACCCTGCTAGCAACAGAGCCCTGGTGGCACAGTGGTTAAGAGCTCAGCTGCTAACCAAAAGGTTTGCGGTTTGAATCCACCAGCCACTCCTTGGAAATCCTATGGGGCAATTCTACTCTGTCCTCTAGGGTCGCTGTGAGTAGGAATCAACTCGATGGCAATGGGTTTGGTTCTGGTTTTTGCAACTACAAGCACAGCTAACTGGACAGCGAACAGCGCTGACTGCACCTGGTGAGGGGGAGAAAAGTGACTCACTGCAGGGTGACGGTGTGGGTGCCCGGCACGGGCCGCTCGATCTCCAGGTCCCGCCGGCTACAGCAATAAGACGCATCGTTAGTATCAGCAGACCCTCCCCTGAAGGAAGTCCCCAGCCCCCACCCAAGGCCCAGGGGACCTGCCAGAATGGCCAACCACCCGCATCCCCAACCTGTGTAAGGTCACGCAGCTTTTTCCCAATGCCCCAGCCTCTTGGTGTCCAAAGAAGTGATTACAGAGACAGCGGCCTCCCTGTCCCTAAATGGACCAGTGTCTGAAATGGTCTCCTGTCTTCCACTCTCATCTGTTCCCCACCTCCCCGTAACCCCAAGTCCTCTCTCTCTGTAGTAGCCGAAATGATCTCGTTACAGTTCTAACCTGGTCGTTTCATTCCCTTGTTTCAGACCCTCCAGTGGTGTCCCATTGTACTAGCGGAAGTCCAGTGTGGCTGGGCCCAGCCCAGTGGCCGCCCCCACATCCCTGCAGGCAGGTTCTGCAGCCTCTCGGCCGCCCTGCAGCGCCCAGCATGGGAAGCTCCTTCCCAGATCACAGCCTGGAGCCAGAGAGGCTGGATTCAAACAGCGCTCGACCATCACTTAACTAGCTATGTGACCTTGGGCAGAATACTGAACCTCTCTGTGCCTTAGCTTCCTGAGCAGACAATGGCGATGATGCTAGCACCCTTGTCAGAGGGGTTTTGTGACGCATCCGTGGATTTGTATGCTCCAGGACAGGGAGGAGGTGTATGGGGCTTTGGTGGCTGTTTCTGGTCTCTTCTGGGTCCCCACTGCCTGCCCAAAAGCCTGCCTCACTCCAGTGCTCGGTGTCTGCTAAGTAAATGAACCCCTGAGCCTTGGCTTCTTCAGCTACTAGAGAGCCTACTGTCTCTCCCAACAGAGATGCTATGAGAACTGAAGAGAAAACAATACTGCATTTCATTACAAACAAGAATGGGCTTCAGAAAACAAAGCTATTACATCTGGGGTCTTAAAAACCTGTGAGCAGCCATCTCAGATACCAATGGTCCCACCCCTTCGGGAGCAAGGGAGAATGAAGAAAGCAAGACACAACGGAAAGATTAGTCCAAAGGACTCATGGACTACAACTACCACGGCCTCCACGAGACTGAGTCCAGTACAACTAAATGGTGCCTGGCTACCACCACTGACTGCTCTGACAGGGATCATGACAGAGGGTCCCAGACAGAGCTGCAGAAAAATGTAGAACAAAATTCTAACTCACAAAAAAAGACCAGACTTACTGGCCTGACAGAGACTGGAGAAACCCTGAGAGTATGGCCCCCGGACACCCTTTTAGCTCAGTAATGAAGTCACTCCCAAAGTTCACACCATTCAGCCAAAGATTAGACAAGCCCATAAAACAAAATGAGACTAATGGGGCACGACAGTCCAGGGACAAGGACTAGAAGGCAGGAGGGGACAGGAAAGCTGGTGATAGGGAACCCAAGGTTGAGAAGGGACAGTGTTGACATGTCTGGGGTTGTTAACCATTGTCATAAAACAATATATGTACTAACTGTTTAATGAGAATCTATTTATTCTGTAAACGTTCATCTAAAGTACAATAAAAAAAAAAAAAGAAAACGAAGCTATTAACATTTGAGGGTAGACAAACCTGGTAAGGCCCATCTTGTCCCCTTTTTGGAGGTGTGGCAGAGCTGGCTCAGCAGGCTGAGGGAGCTCCTGGAAGATTCCAGAGCCCCTGGCTGACACCAGTGGGGCTGAGCTGCCCACTCCTGGAGCTGAGCTCTACACGAGGACCTAGTTATCGCTGAGAGGGCTACTCCTTTGCTGAAGGCTGTGTTAAGGTCCTGCTCACCCCTAGAATATCCATCTCACCTCCTAGAAGTCTCCACGGATTCCTCCCATCCTCCCAGAGTGTTTCGTGCTCTCTCAGCTCTTCTGACATCTAGGTTTTCACTGTGGTCAGCCACACGAAAACTCATTTACCTCTCAATCCCTTGAGTGTGTGACTATGTCCCACCCCTGCTTGTGTCCCCAGTGGTCTGGAGTAGCGGCTCAGCTCCTTGCCCAGTGCCCAAAATCCCAGGAGACACCGAATGACTCACTGGGCACCCCTGTCGTATTGATTTATTTGCTCAAATTCAGGGACTGCATCTTTTGCTAATTTATCATCCTTCCCTCCTTGACCCTGTGTTCCAGCCATCCCAAAGGAGCCTGGTACATGGCAATTGGGCGGCCGAGCGACAGCTGATACCTGTTGTAGGCGTTGATGAACAGGTGCAGGTTGGTGGGGTTCATGTCGTTCACGATGTGCTGGCGGTAGGTGTGGACCACCTCCACGTTGTTATGCATTTCTTCCTGCAGTTAGAGAGGGGGAAACTCTCACTGTGCTGTCACCTGGGCCCGTCACGAGCCGCTTCCTGCTCCAGGTCATCCAGGTGCAAACTGAAAATAGGCATGCCTGGTCCACAGACAGAAGGGAATCTCCAGGAAAGCAACGCGGGGACACAGACAGGCGTCTAAACATTAGCTGACAGCAGGAGAGAACGCACACCTGGAAGGCCTCATTACTTTTGGAGTTTTGGTTTGAAGTCAGTCGACCTGGACCTAGAGGGTGGGTCTATGGCTGATCCTTCCTTGGGCAAGTCCCTTGACCACTGTGAACCTTAACCCAAAAAACTCACTGCCGTCAAGTCAATTCCAACTTACAGCCACCCTACAGGACAGAGCAGAACTGCTCCATAGGGTTTCCAAGGAGCAGCTGGTGGATTTGAACTGCTGACCTTTTGATTAGCAGCTGAGCTTTTAACACCCTGTGCCAACAGGGTTCCATCTGTGAACCTTACCAAAAAAAAACAAAAACCTGTTGCTGTCAGGTCGATTCCAACTCATTGCGACCCTATAGGACAGGAGAACTGCCCCATAGGGTTTCCGAGAAGCACCTTGTGGATTCGAACTGCTGACCTTTTGGCTAGCATCCAGGCCTTTAATCACTGCGCCACCAGGGCTCCTACCTCAGGTCCCTCAAAAAAAAGTGGGGGGGATACACTAAGATGGCTACAATTTAAAAAATGGAAAACTACAAGTGTTGGTGAGAATGTGGAGAACTTGGAACCCTCGTCCATTTCTAAGAAGCCCTGGTGGCATAGTGGTTAAGAGCTCAGCTGCTAACCAAAAAGGTCAGCAGTTCGAATCCACAGCTGCTCCTTGGAAACCCCTATGGGGGAGTTCTACTCTGTCCTCTAGGGTCACTATGAATCGGAATCGACTTGATGGCAATGGGTTGGGTCCATTTCTGGTGGCACTGTGAAATGGCACAACTTCAGGGGAAAACACTTTGGAGGTTCCTCAAAAAGTTTACCATAGAACTACCATATGATCTAGCAATTCTACTCCTAGGTAGATCCCCAGGGGTGAGAGGGAGGGGGGAAAAGAGAGTCATTGGTTACGGGGCATTGAGCTTCTGTTAAAAGTGGTGGAAAAATGTGGAAACGGGTAACAATGATGGCTAGACAACATGATGATGACCTTCATCAATGTTTCTGAACTGTACCTGTAAAAAATGCTGAAATCGCAATGTTTTGTTATATATATACTTACGACAATAAAAAAATTAAAAACAAGCAAATAAAAACGGAGGATAAAAGTACCTACTTCACCAGGATGGGGAACTTAACGGACGTTTGCACACAAAAGTTTTTTGTAAACCGTAAAAATAGGATGCAAATGTTGGCAATAATTAAGATTTTCTAATGGAGAGAGTTGAAAAGAAGTTTTTCACGCTTGAAAAACAAACCCAGTTTCTGGAAAGAAGGCAATGTCAATGCCACTGGGGGCCAAGCAGAGCCCTGCGGGAGGTCGGGCAGAGCCTTGCCCTCTCTGCTTCCTTTTGAATGTGATTTGGGACGAGCAAATGAGTTCTGGGCTTGTTCTGTTTCTCATTTGCACATGGCAGATGCTGGGGGTTCACAAGGTGGTCTGATGTGCTCAGTGGATCCAGAGCAGGACAGAGAAGGAACACAGGAAGCCTATGTCAAGCCCAGGCTGTTATCACAACAGTCTGCAGTCATTTCAACAACGTAAGCCAACTGGCCATTAAAAGCAAAATCAGGAAAAAATAGTCCGAGGGATCGTGCTGGGCTTCCAAATAAAAGGACAACTGCAGCAACTTGCGGACATCAGCAGACAACACCGCCTGACCGCGAACCTCCAAGGACTCTCATGCTGCACTTGACACCCCTCCCCTAAGGGAATATACACGCGGGTGCTGGTCTTTCCAAATTCCTATCGGCTTCAGATTACACACTCAGGGTGGAGTAAATGCACCACAAACCATGTACGAAGCATAAACGAGGAAAAAGGACCACACCCAGCGGGGACACCTTGCCAACCCCGAAGCAGAACATCTGCTTTCCTGGACTCACAATTGCTCAGGGCATCATTGGACGGTCACACTCTGCTGCGCAGGAGTAGGCAGTGGCATGGGGACCGCACAGAGTAACAGAGCAGTCACCCTGAGCTCAGGCACCTAAGCTGGGGTCAGAGCCCACAGCACTTCCCTCCCAGGCTAGAGTTATAAACCACAATCAGGGGACAGGCTGACCAGGGCTCATGAGGACAGGGAAACACACAGCTAGTGGGCTGCAAGGGGCTGGATTCTACCTGCTCTTGGTGGGCCTAACTCTGCAGAACAGCAACCCCCTACAGCCAGGCAGCCCTGGGGGCACAGAGGGACAGTGTTTGCAGTGGTTACCAGAAGGGACTCGAGCCAGGCTTGAGAGGGTCAAAGCCCAGCCCCAGCCATCCCTGGCTGGGAGACCTTACACAAGTCACTTAGCCTCTCTGGTCTCAGTCTCCTCATCCATAAACTCGAGATGAAAACAGGACCAATCACACAGGTCCTGGGGCTGCTGGTGGAGTCCACGAGTTCATTCTCATAAAGTCCTCACAACAGTGCTGGGCGCACAGCAAGCTCTGTGGCCAGGTTTGCTACAGGGTTTATTTGTAATCACCCAGAACTGGAAGCAACGCCAATGCCCATCAACAGGATGGAAAAATGAATTACAGCACATCCAGGTAATGGAATACTACTCAGCAATAAAAAAGGAATGAGCTACTGATTCCATCAGCATAGATGAATCTCACAGTAATTATGCCCAGTGAAAGAAGCCAGAAAACAGTACATAGTATATGGTGCTGTTCATACACAAACCAATGGAATGCACACTAATCTACCGTTACAGAAAGCAGCCCAGAGGCTGCCTGTGGGCGGGGTGGGGGGAGCACGTAGGAGAGCAGGGTTAGGAAGGGGCAGGAGGAAACCTGTGAGGGTGATGGATTTGTTCACTCTCTTGATTTCCGTGAGGGTTTCATGGGTATACGCATACGTTGGAATGTGTCCAATCATACACATTTTTAAATATGCATAGTTTACTGTACCTCAATAAACCCAAAAGCCAAACCTACTGCCTCTGAGGTGATTCCGACTCAGAGAGAGCCTGTAGGATAGAGGAGAACTGCCCCGTAGGGTTGTCAATCTTTATGCCCCAAGGCTGTAAATCTTTCTGGAAGCATACTGCCACGTCTCTTGAAGAATGTCTGGTGGGTTCCAACCGTTGACCTTTTGGTTAGTAGCCAAGCGCTTTAACCACTGTGCCCCCAGGGCCCCTGTACCTCAATAGAGCTGTTTAAAAATGAAAGGACAAATGCCTTGATGATTACGGATGAGGAACGCTCATGTGACTCCATGGGCATCTGCAGGGTGGCCCCCAGTTCACAATGTCTTGTCTCTAACCCCCACACCTGGCCCCGTGCCGGGCCCGCTCAGCATGGATGACAGCACGCCAGGCCCTGTACTCACCTTCCCGAAGAGGTGAGACACCACCATGTCCGGCAGGGCTTGGGTCCACCCAGAGATCTAGGAGAGTAAAAACATGCAGTTAGAAGCCAGCAGCTAAGAGTAGCGAGACAAGGCAAGCAAAACCCCACTGCCCCCGGGGCAGAGTGGCCTGGTCCCAGCATTCCCTCGACGGGAACTCATTTACCTGTCCCTGGTCACTGACTGCACCTGGAGCCCCTGAACCCAGGGGCGGGGTCTCCATCCAGCCCCTTACTCCCAGGCCCCACGCCCAAGGCTGCACAGCAAACGTGCTGAATAGAGACCCAAAGTGCCCCTAGCTTTCCCCGCTTGGAAAGTTCACCCAGTGCTCAGCAAGGAGGGCCCTCACTTCTCAGAAGCCTCACTTGCCTCTTCTAAACACACACTGAGCTCCCTAGTCTGCACCCCAGAACGTGCCTAGTCCCCAGTGATCCCTCCACATTATCCTCTAGCTTTTCCCCTCAAGCCAATTTCCGCTCTGAATATGCTGAGGTCACTGAAGACACTAAAGTCACTGAAGACTTTGTCCTCTCCACCTCTCCCCACCAGGCGCTCCTTGGAAACCCTACGGGGCAGTTCTACTTTATCCTATAGGGTCGTTATGAGTTGGAATCGACTCAACGGCAATGGGTTTGGTTTTGGGTTTACCTCTCCCCAATGACAGGAGCTCCATAAATGCTAGGTGTACAGCAGGAGCTCCATAAATGCCAGATATACAGCAGGGGCTCCGTAAATGCTAGGTATACAACAGGACCTCCATAAAAGCTAGGTACACCGCAAGGGCTCCATAAACATTAGGTATATAACAAGACCTCTGTTAATGCTGGGTATCCAGCAGGAGCTCCATAAATGCTGAGTAGCCAGCCGGAGCTCCATAAATGTGTGCTGACCAACTTCAGCACTGTGCAGGGACTGGCAAGTGAGAGAAGCTCTGGGTCTGGAAGTCCTCGGCTGGCCCCCGACTGCCACATCCCAGCTGTGTGGAACTGGGCAGTTTGCAGACAGTCTGGACCTCAGACTTTCCGTCTCCAAAGGGGGGTGCCGGGAACTTCAGAGACACAAGGCCAAGGTGAGGATCACATGAGGCACTACACACATCCTAGTATCTGACACCAGTGCCCAACACTTGGTAGGCACTTTAAATAGGTTTTCTTTCTCCCAAGGCCGGGTTGAAAAGGAGGGATACGGTGCAGATATTAACCTCCCCCGCCCCAGGTTTCTCAGCCCCACTTTAGCCAGTGGTCCAAGTCCCCAGCCCTCCACCTCTGGCTCGGCACAGCTCTCAGGGAGCCAACTGGCTGGTGGCTCTGTCACTGCCTTTGCTGGGAAAGAGACAAAGACGCGAGCCCAGGGAGTCCGTCCTGCTCCTGGGTGTCATGCAGGCAAGAGGAAAGGCTCTGAGTTCTGGCTGAATGTTCAAGGAAGAAAGCCAAGAGGAGAGTGTTCAGGACTAGGACAGGGTGGGGTGGGGGGAGTGACCCCTTCAAACCCTTCTAACCCCCTGTCCCCTGACAGCCACCCCAAACTTGGCAAAAACACACTTTCAGAGTGAGAAGCCAGGAGCATCCCAGCTTGAAAAGCTTTGTTCTGTTTCCATTGGAATGGTTTCCCCTTCTCTTTGGCAAATACTAGGGTTTTTATGAAAAAAACAATCATGGCTTTTAGAAAGAAGGAGCCCCAGGACATCAGCCAGGGCCGAGCTTCCTGAGACAGCTCAGGCCCTTCTCCTCCGGACCACCTATCCATCAATCTTCTGACCAGGGGACCCAGGGCAGGCTGTGGCTGGTCCACCTCTGTAACCCCAGCCCCAGCAGGGTTTGGGTCAAGGCAAGTGTTTGCTGTCTGCTGGGTGGCAGCCTGTCTCCCACCCAAATGGGGGCGCTGGTGAGTACAGCATGGAGGTGAAGTTCAAGGACCATGGAGTCAATGAGATCTACATTCAAGCCCTGGTTCTCCTGGTGCCTCGCTCAGTGTCACCTGGGACACCTCCCTTAGCCACTCTGAGCCTCAGCTTCCTCATTTGTAAAGGGGTTATGTCAATTCCCACCTCCTGGTGCTCTTACGGAAACTGACCGAAGTGATGCATATATTGCAACGTAGAGTAGAAATAGCACACAGTAAGCAATACACGTGAGCGAACTGTTATTATCATAGAACTTAAACTGCTAACCCACTGCTGTTGAGTCGACTCCGACTCATAGCAACCTTATAGGACAGAGTAGAACTGCCCCATAGGGTTTCCAAGGAGCAACTGGTGGATTTGAACTGCCGTCCTTTTGGTTACCAGCCGAGCTATTCACCACTGTGCCACAAGGGCTCCTTCACAGAATTTAGTGGCACAAAAAAAAAAGTTGCTGTCAAGTCCTTCCGACTCATAGTGACCCCATGTGTGTCAGAGTAGATCTGTGCTCCATCGGGTTTTGAATAGCTGATTTTTTGGAAGTAGATCACCAGGCCTTTCTTCCAAGGCACCTCTGGGTGAACTTGAACCACCAACCTTTTGGTTAGCAGCCAAACAAGTTAACCATTTGCAGCACCCAGGGTCACATAGTAAGTACTAAATAAATGTGCTTTCTTTTCCCCATCATTAATATGTGGATTCTGAAGATCAGAGGCTTTTATCTTTTTCGTCATTATATCCTTGCCATCTTGGGCAAAGCCTGACACACACTAAAAAACCTAACCTAACCTGTTGTCATCAAGTCGATTCCGACTCATAGCGACCCTATAAGACAGAGTAGAACCGCCCCATAGGGTTTCCAAGGAGGAACTGTTGGATTTGAACTGCTGACCTTTTGGTTAGCAGGCAGATGCTTAACCATTGCGCCACCAGGGCATTTTATCCTTGGTATCTTGGGCAAAGCCTGACACATATTAGTGCCAAGCAAATAGAGATTACTCCAAGCTCTGCTTATGGAAGCTGGCTCAGGGCCACATGTCCCAGTGCCATCCCTGACTTAGGTGTCACAGTTCTCCTTAAATCTTCTGAGCGGCAAATAGCTGAGGAGATGTTTGCTACTCCAAGGCAGAAGAAAACCTGCTCCCTTCGCTGGAGGTGGAGGGATGGTGGAGGATGGAGGTCAACAGAGGTCTCTTAGCTCCACGGCTCCTCCAGGCAGGGCCCCCACCAGCCTGGCCCCAGCCCCCAGCCTCACCTTGGAGGCGGCCCAGTCCATCCAGCCTTCTGCACAAGGGTTCACGTTGATGAGGACGAGGCCTTCCACCATCTCAGGGTTGTTCAGCTGCAATGCAAGACACGAGGTAAGAGAGAGAACACTGTGGTCTGAAATACCACTAGCTTTAAAAATCAAACCCAACTCAAGAGAAGAAGCGAGAAGGGGCCAGCATAGGATATTGTTGCTGGCTGTTGCCGCTCCAGTTCTCTCCCACCCCAAAGAGTCTTCAATCCCACCCATGCAATTGGGCTTCCAGCTCAGCAGACCCTGGATTGGGTGCCTGAGAGAGTGGGAAGAATAGGCTATGGTGTAAGTAGAAAGTGCTGATGCTTTGCAGTTTTGCCTTGCCCAGGTTACTTCGCCTTGTTGAATCTCAGCTTCCCCAGCCGCCAAATAGGTCTAACATACCATCTACTCCATAAATCAGACAGGACACATATTTAGCAGTAAGAACTCTATTACTCCTAAGATATAAACAGATACGTTGCTGTTGTTAGTTGCCATTCAGTCGATTCTGACTCATAGCGCCTCCATGTGTTACAGAGCAGAACTACCCCATAGGGTTTTCCTGACTATAATTTTAACAGAAGCAGATTGCCAGACCTTTTCTTTTGCGGTACTACTGAGTAGGTTCAAATCACCAACCTTTAGGCTAGCAGTTTAGTGCAAACTGCATCACCCAGGGATCTTATAGATAAATATGGATATTGGCACGGTGGTTAAGTGTTTAGTTGCTAACCAAAAGGTTGGCTATTTGAATCCACCAGCTGCTCCTTGGAAACCCTATGGGGCAATTCTTCTCTGCCCTAGAGGGTCTCTATGAGTCGGAATCGACTCGATGGCAATGGGTTTTGGTTTGGATATAGACGTAGGATACACACACATACTTACACACACAGCCACACATACACACCCCAGGATGTACTTAAGATCTTTTATTTTTACATCTGCTCAGAGCCTGAATGGCCACACGCTTCTGTATTTGTGTCCATACGTCTAATCTCTAGCAAAGCCCACAGGGCTGAATAAAACAAGTGTCCTCGCATTTTTAAGCAACTGCTTAGTAAGGATGCAAAGGACCCAGTAGCACTTGACTTGGAACCACAGTACTATAAGCGACAACTGTCATGTTGGTACACGTGTCTCTGGTTCTAGCTTAGAATCAGGATCCAGGGAACACTGACTACAATAACCTGAACAGCTATTAGAAAGAACAACTGGTCGTAGCAGAAAATTCTGGAACATGAGGACTGTTCACCACAGATTGTGAAGTGAGCACAGCAGATGACACAGGACTGTGCCTAGTGTCTCAGTAAAGGCAGAAGAAAGGCTGTACGTGTGCGTGTGCGTGAATACGTGTACGCACACCACACACTCACACATCCGCAGTATAGACCACACGCCACAATATTAACCGTGGTTAGTCCTTGCAAAATGGAATTATAGGTAATTTATTTTTCCCTCTGGGATTTTTGATGTTTTTCCAAGTTTCTTCCCTAATATTGAATTAATTTTGTTGTTTAAAATGTAATTACAAAAAATGCTCACGAACTCACGGCAAATCTAGTTAGGACATAGGCGCCAGCACCAGTTCCCATGCCGATGACGCTCTTCAGCCTGGAAAAAAAACCCACGTGACACCAGGCAAGAGTGATGGGAACCCTAACAGCCCGCTAAAACCCTCCCCGTCCTCGTCTCTAAGGAGCCTCATCTCCCCAGTGTCTGTTCAGGCCCCCAAAGATGGCTGGCAAGCTAGACTGAGCAGAGCCGCACTGCCGTGCCGTGCCCTCCGAGGCCTGGGGATGCATCAGGTTCTGGGACTGACAGAGAGCATGACCTTGGAGAGGTGTACCCTTTTTTCCTGATTCCCTCCCAGCTGCTGCCAAGGGCCCGAGAGCCTATCTGACATTCATGGGAAGGCCCATTACAGTGCTGCATCTCCCACTCTTAAGCTTATTTTGGATTCTAAGACTTGGAAGGAATAAATTAGGCAGGAACCACGAGGCATTCCCAACATCCTCAGGCTCAGCTAAGAGGAGAATGAGCACTGGAGGCATGGAGGCAGGGCGCAGAAGGGAGGGCTGAGGCGGCCCCATCTAGAACGCTCCACTGGAAAGGGAAGGCAACCAGGAACTGGACTCACAGAAAGGACGGTGTGGATGAAGTCACTGGGGTGACTTATTCAGTCAGGGAAAAAAGCTGAAGTCACAGGAGGCAGACAGAGGAAAGAGACTGTGCTGAGCAGCGTTCACGTTTACCAAGCAGGACAAGCGAATGTCCTCCCTAATCTCCAAACTCCAATCTACATCAAGGCCAGGGACGGACCTGAGCTAAAAGCACCCTTCTCTGCCAGCGATCCCTCACTCTTACCCAATAGGGGGAGTCTTCCCTCACTCTTACCCAATAGGGGGAGTCTTCCCTCACTCTTACCCAATAGGGGGGAGTCTTCCCTCACTCTTACCCAATAGGGGGGAGTCTTCCTCACTCTTACCCAGTGGGGGGCGGGGGGCAGTCTTCCCTCACTCTTACCCAATAGGGGGGACTCTTCCCTCACTCTTACCCAATAGGGGGAGTCTTCCCTCACTCTTACCCAGTGGGGGGCGGGGGGCAGTCTTCCCTCACTCTTACCCAAACTGGTGGAGGACTCCAGGAAGCATTTCAGCCAGCTGGTCCATGGAGGGGTACATGTACCTGGGGAAGATGTGGAGATGCAGTGAGCAAGAGCCCGGCCACAGTGGAAATGGATAGTCCAAACAGAAACAGATCGAAAGGCAGACACTATGCACCAACCCCACCTGTGCACCCACCTCTCCAGTCTGGTCTCCCTCTAGATCCTCACTCAGAGCACCCACAGCACACGTAAGCCCCCACCACTGCGCAAGGATACCTCCTGCCCCATCCCTAATTCTCCTTCTTTTATTATTTAAAGCAACCATTTATTGACTGAAGTACCTGGGTGGTACAGACGGTTTATGTGCTTAGCTGCTAACCTAAAGGTTACTGGTTCAAGTTCACCCACAGGTGCTTCAGAAGAAAGCCCTGGCAATCTACTTCCAAACAAATCAGCATTGAAAACCCTATGGAGCACAGTTCCACTCTGGCACACATGGGTTATTATGAATAGAGGTCAACTTGATGTCAACTGGCTTTTCTTATTTATCGATTGCTTCCTATGTTCTGCGTCCCACACTAAGCATTTTAAGAGCATTAAAGCCTCCTTTAATCCTCCAAACAGCTCCAGGAGGTTGCTATGCCTTTCCGCAATACAAAGACTATAAATCTCACTGAAGCTGAGAGATAAGTGACTTGTTCCCACAGAAGAGAAGGAACTTGAGCCCCCATCTCATGTGGACTCGAGACTTCAAGGCGCAATTGCTTAAGCCCTTGGTGGCTAACTGAAAGGTCAGTGGTTCAAATCTACCAGTGGCTCCAAGGGAGAAAAGGCCTGGTGATCTGCTCCGTAAAGATTACAGCCTAGGAAACCCTATGAGGCAGTTCTACTCTGCCATATGGGGTCTCTGTGAGTTGGAATCAGCTGGACAACACCTAACAACGTCCCCAAGTCCTTAGCAGTGCACAGAAGGGGCTTCTTGCCCCCACCATGTGTCCACCTCTCCAGTTGGGGTACAGTCTCACACTCTTGGCACCCCACTAAGCTCCTCCCAAGCCAGCTCCATCCCCCGTGTCTCAGCACATCGCCACTTCTGCCAGACACCCTCCCCACGTGTCTCTCTGAAGCCAGGCTTCTCTTCCAGAGATCTGCGGTGCCTCTGCTTCTCCCCTTCTTTCCTGCGGATGCTGTTCCCTCCATCTTCTCAGGAGCAACTGGGTGCCACTGCCCTGGAATTTCCAGAAAGGAGGCCAAAGGCCTCTGCCCCGGCCAATGCCTACAAACAAGCCAGAGTTCCCTCCCTTTTCTTTTTCCTGTCTCCTCATGAGGAACTCAAAGCATTGTCTTTTTGCCCAAGGCATCAGCCATAATCAGGGAGTCTGACCCCAGTTTATCGAAGCAGGTCCATAAGGCATGCTGGGCAAGCGGCGAGCTCCCCCAAACATCCCATAATCCTCAGGGGCAGGAAGCCTGGGAAGACTTGTCAAGATACCGTACAAGACCAACATGACAGGCCAGAAACAGCTGTCCTCTTTTTGTTTGTTTGGCTTTGCGTCCAGGACATTGTTAAAAATAAAAGGTGTGGGGAACAACATTGATGAGAAGGTATTTTACAATTCTAGCCTCCTTGGGGAGGAAGAATCAAAACAGGCAAGGATTAATTAATTTGATCATTAGTTACTGATCACGTACACACAGCAGGGTCTCTGTTAGGCAGTGGGGAGATGAGGTGGCAAGCAGACATGGTCCAGTGTGGGACAGCCTCTTAGTAACGGAAATAAGCGAGTGTAATTTGTAACTCCCCAGGTGGTGCAAAAGGTTAACACACTCGGCTGCTAACAGAAAGGTTGGAGGTTAGAGTCCAATCACCGGCACCTCAGAAGAAAGGCCTGGCAATCTACTTCTGAAAAATCAGCCATTGAAAACCCTACAGAGCACAGTTCTACTCTGACACACAGGGGGGAAATCAGAGTGCTAACAGGGCAGATTGACACCAGAGACCTGTCTGACCGAGTGGTCATGGAAGGCCTCCTGGAGGAAGTGACATTAGAGCGGGCAGAGGAGTCTGACAAGGGAAGAGCGTGGGAAACCTATTCCAGTGGGGAACCAGCATGTGCGAAAGCTCTGGAAGGAGCTGGAAAGAGCCTGGCTGGTGTGGCTAAACATATAATGGAGCCGCTAAACTGAGGGAAGAAGGAATCTTAATGGAAACGAGGAGCACAGACATCGTGTCTTCCCAGGGTCTTTCTGAACTGACCAGCAGCCCCCCAGGTGTGGTACTGGGGAAGTCGCTTAACTTTAGGGGTCTCTGTTCTCCCTGCTCCCTGGGGCTGCGTGCACAGTGACGAGGCTGCAGGATTCCACTGCTGTGTAGGAAGTTGACTCCAGGGCTGGCGGAAGCCACCCAAGGGTCTCTGCCCCAGGATGCGGGGACCTGTCCCTTAGAGGGCTTGGGAGACACCGTGGCTCCAGAAGGCAGACACAGGCCAGGTCCAGTCGGGCCTTGGTTCCCACCAGCTGCACACTGCAACCCCTGGTAATCTTGGGGGAAGTGCCCTGTACCTCGACCCTCAGGTTATTTTAAAAATCTCCCCAGGGGGAGCTAAGAACCACTGCTTTATCCGAAGTCTTTCAAAGAGATGGCCAAAACAATGATAGAGCTACTGACAAATCTCTCACTACCTGCTGGTTAACAGTTAACTGAGTCCCATTTTACCAATAAGCCTATAGTGTTTGGCCCTGGCCCCTGGGGCTGGGTTCCTTTCTTCTCTGATAAAGGTAAATTATTAAAGATTATGATGAACACTAATACAAATAAAAAGTACATCTATTTGTAAATGCCAAGAAGGTCCCTTCTGGAAAACTTTAAATGCGAGAACCTACTCCCTCCTGGTTTAACCACAGCAGTAGATGGAGAGGGAGAGGGAGGGAAGAAAGAGAGAGTGGGGCATCTTTCAGAGGCCACCCCCCGCCATGAGGCTGTTTGTCCAGTGCAATCAGTAAGCCTAACCCCAGATTCACGATGGGCAAGTGAAAAGCCATGCTGGCCTCTCGCTGATGAGGGCCAGGAGTTCCAACAGCCTGGAATAAGGCAGACTGATGTTCCAAAGAGAATAGGAGGCTTGGAGTCAGTAGACTGGGATCAAATCCCCACTCCCAGTTCCTAGCTGTGCGACCTCGAGCAAGGTATTCAACTACCCCCATGCCTCAGTTTCTTAATCTAGAAAATGGGGCTAACGACACTAGCCGCGTAGAACTAGCCGTGAAGATGAAGTGAAAATGACACAAGGAAATAAAAACTACCGAGCTTGGCCCACCCACAAAGCCAAACCCAGCTCGTAGCAACCCTACAGGACAGAGTAGAACTGCCCCAGAGGGTTTCCAAGGAGCAGCTGGTGGATTTGAACCAACGATTTGCACTCGGCTGCTAACCAAAAGGTTGTCAGTTTGAACCCACCCAGGGACTCCGAGGAAGAAAGGCCTGGCTATCTGCCTCTGTAAGATCACAGCCAAGAAAACCCTATGGAGCTCAGCTGTACTTCGTAACACATGGGGTCGCCATGGGTCAGAACTGACTTAGCAGGGACAGGTAGGGTGATGGAACCTTTTGGAAAAGGATACCAGTGAAGGTTGCATACCCTGATGAAGATAATGACTATCCCTGAATCGGACAGGTGAAAACTACCGAAATGGCAAATGTTAGGTTATATATATTTTCACGACAATTAAAAAGAAAAAGCCAGGCTAGCGCCTCCCCTGGTCCCTCACTACTTGGTTTTCCCTCTCTCTCACGGGGCTCCAGGGTCCCCCTCGTACCCCATGGGGAAGGAGGCGGCTCCGTCCTGTTGGCCAGGAGCATCCACGTGACAGACGGCAAAGTGCTGGGTGATCTCCTGCATGTCTTCGGAGTTGAAGAGGGGGTTGTAGCAGGTTTTGTCTGCGTGAGAGGGAGATAAGGGAAGCGTACATTAGGTTACTCGGGAGCAAAGACACTCACCTCGTTTATTTCGTTCTCATCCAGCAGGCAATAAAGGACTTACAGGGAAGAACGTGTTTATCTTTTTTGCCCTGTCCCGTTTTCCTCGGGTGATGAAAGGGGAGAATAAGTCGTGGTACGGAGTGGGTATGGAGGTAGAGATGGTCAACAGTCGCCACTGTATATGTGGTGAATTGGCCTTAGACTTCCAGTGGGCACTGGAAGGGGGCTCCTGTTCTGGGCCCAGCTTCTTCTCATCAATAATGGCCATGATGGCCCTGGTGCAAGGTGGGAGCCTCCTCTGATGGCTCTTTCTCTCTGGGTCACCTAAGCCCTCACATCTGGAACACAGGCAGGGCGCTTGTCATTTGCAAACAAGGAGAAGCACACAGTAGACAAAGCCACTTATTATGTGGTCTTGAGAGTCTCCTAGTTGCTGAGGGCCTGAGAAGGATTCTTAAGAGGAAGGTAATTCTAAGGAAAGAGTCCCTGGGTGCAAAGTGCTAATGCGCTTGGCTGCTAACCAAAATGTTGGTGGTTCGGGTGCACCCAGAGGCACCTCGTAAGAAAGGCCTGGTGACCTATTCAGAAAAATCATCGCCACTGGAAACCCTATGGAGCACAATTCTACTCTGACACACATGGGGTAGGCATGAGTTGGAGTCAACTCAATGGCAAATGGTTAATGGTTTGAGGCAAAGATGGGCTGGTTATGAAACTGTTTCCCTTTTCCTCCTGGGTACACAGTGGGATGACATTTCCCAGCATTCCTTGTAATTAGATGCAGCCATGTGACCAGTTGGGCCAATAGCATGTGATGCTCATCCTTTCCAAGCCCATCACCCAGTCCTCTAGGTCTCCCTTCTCCCTGTGGATGCAGAGGAGCAAGCAGGAGCCTCTGAGGCACCAGGGGATGGTGGAGCCACAGATGGAAGGAGACTGGGTGCTTCCCACTGGGTCTTTCAGTGTCCCACCCAATACCCCATTGACTTGTGACATGAGTGAGAAATAAACACATACTGTGCTAAACCACAGAGGTCTGGGGGGCCATTTATTACAGAAGATAGCCTACTACAACGAATAATGCACCTCTCTGGATTGGGAGAGTAACGCCACCATATGCAATTCCATGTCTTTGTCAGAGTCCAATGAAATAAGATGTATATCAAAGTACCTGGCATGGGACCTGCTACATAATGGATACAAGGAAGATAGACAAGGGAAGAAGTGAAAAAAAGGAGGAGAAGGAAGGAGAAAAATGATTTTCAGTGACTGGCATTGTCCCCAGTGGCAAGATATTAATAAGCTATAGGAAAAAAGTGTACATCAGGCAGTTGATTGATCAAAAATTAGGTGGGCATCCAGCTTACAATACTCAAGTTCACAAGGACTACTGCGGCCACTAGGAACGGCTATATCATCAGAAAAAGAGTCAGCTCTATTCCATGGAATGTAACATTAAGTAGACCGTGGAGCAGGGGTTAAGCGCTTGGCTGCTAACCAGAAGGTCCAGGGTTTGAACCACCAGCCGCTCCGAGGGAGAAAGATATGGCAGTCTGCTTCCATAAAGATTTACAGCCTTGAAAACCCTATGCGGCAGTTCTACTCCGTCCTGCAGGGTCGCTATGAGTCAGAATTGACTCAATGGCAACGGGTTTGGTTTTTGGTTTTTATTCCATTCCCATGTCTGAAAATTGGGGAACTTGGATATGGAAAAAATTCCCGGTAATCTTAAGAATTTACTGTCCAATGAGACTAATGAGGCACAACAGTCCAGGGACAAGGACTAGAAGGCAGGAGGGGACAGGAAAACTGGTAATAGGGAACCCAAGGTTGAGAAGAGAGAGTGTTGACATGCCATGGCATTGTTAACCAATGTCATAAAACAATATGTGTACTAACTGTTTAATGAGAAACTACTTGTTCTGTAAATTTTCATCTAAAGTACAAGAAAAAAAAAGAATTTACTGTCCAAATGTTCACAGCAGCCTTATTTGTGATAAACAAAAAGTGGAAATAATCCAAATATGTGGGGATATGTACCATTAAAATATGGATGTATAAAGGTCTCTATGCTGCACAACATGTTGAGACTTGTCCCCAACATGTTGAGACTTGTCATGACTTGTTTTTCCAAAACCGTTACTGATTGGCTTGTTTACCTGAATTCCTCCTCCCTTGCCTGAAACTTACTGTTATTCACCCAATGCCCATTATTCTGTTATTTGCTTCACTGTTTGCTGTATTGACTGTAAATAAATTCCTGGGACTGGAGCCGGGGTTCAACTCCTCAGAGTGACCCTCCTGGCCACACTTCTCTGTAAGAGTTGTGGCACTGGTTATTGTCTCCGCCACCCTGACAACCGTTGCCGCTGCGACAGATGGTGCCCCGTGTGAGGGCAGAGCCGTAGACGCCCTTGCACTCAATCCCTTCAGGTGGTGAGTATCAGACGTCCAATTCAGGCTGGGTTTACAGCCCCAGAGCGGCAGGTCTTTCCTGACCGCTCCCAAGGGATTTCAGGCTTCAGGCCAGGAGCTTTCCTATCATTCTTTTCTTCATCTTCCTATTCCTCCTCGCTATGCGGAATTCTCTTTCTCCTGAACAGTGTCAACACAAAACCCAGTTGTTAGGATTGTTAAAGGCCTCTAAGCTTAAGGTGTCAGAAGAAGCCCTTACTCAACTTCTGCTTTTAATTGAATCTGCCATTTCCCAACAGGTAGACAATCAACAAGCAGCTAAAGTTCTTTGTCTCCAGCTTGCTTGTGAAAATGCTAATGCTGACTGTCGGGCTGCTTTAGCTCCCTTAAAGGTACAGAGTCTTAATCTAGCTGAAATGATTAGAGCATGTTAAAATGTTGGCACAGAAACTCATAAGGCACAAGTATTAGCGGCAGCTCTCCGTCCAGCCACTGCCACCTGTTTTGGGTGCAGTAAACCTAGGCATTTTAAGAAGGACTGTCACAGTTTAAAAAACAAAAATGCCAACACTAAACTTCCAGCCCAAAAGTATCCCCGCTGTGGTAAAGGTTTTCATTGGGCTAATATATTCTGGGTTTCTCTATGCTACAGCCCTTTCTGGAGAACGTTCTACTCATGCCTGTCGTCATTTCACCCAAGCCATTGCAATTATGGGATGTCCCCAAGCCCTTAAAACTGATAATGGGCCTGCATATACTTCGGCTAAATTTCAACAATTTTGTGCCACTTGGAATATTCTTCATTCCACTGGCATTCCTTATAACCCTCAAGGGCAAGCCATAATTGAACGTGCCCATCATACTCTCAAACAGCTCTTAAATAAACAAAAGGGGGGAGATGATTGGTCTAGAGTATGTGACCAGAATGAAAGACTTGCCAAAGATCTCTTTATTTTTAACTTTTTATCGGTTGCTAAAGATGGTCGTACTGCTGCAGAACGACACTTTATCCCCTCTGACACCAGACCTCACCCACAGGTCCTCTATAAAGATCCTCAAAATCCCTCTGTCTGGCAAGGACCTGCAGAATTATTAACCTGGGGGTGAGGGTGTGCGGCTGTTTTGTCTCCTACAGGTCCACTTTGGATTCCGGCTCCGGCACCGCCCGCGCTCCATCCCTCCCGTGGTGCTCCGAGCCCAGTCCCGGGTTGCCGCTGCCCGGGCTCGCCGGCCTGGTCGCCTGGGGTGTCGCCGCCTGGGATAGCCCTGCCTGGAGGCTCTGGGCAGGCGAAAGCGGGCTCTGCGCTCCGGCCACGACTAGGGGTCCCAGATGCACCCCGTACTGTGGCTCCCCCGTGCACCAGCACGCTCTGCCCTGCACCTCCGCCCCTTCCCTTCTCGGAACCGCCGACACCACCCCTGCTGCGGCTGCCGGAGCCGCCATCTGATCCGACTCCAGAGCCGCAACTGACACCGGCACCCCTTCCCCTGGGGATGAACACTGAAGTGCTGCCATCTGACCCGAAATCACCCCTTCCCCCGGGGATGGTCACTGAACAACAGAGATCTGCAATATCGGTAACATGGGGAGGTCTGAAAGCCCTCTCTTCCAAAGCTGAGCATATCCTCTCAACTACAAGTGCCCCACTTACACCTGGAAGCCTGTTTCTAGCTATGGTTTCCCTCGTGACAATCAATCCTCAGTAGTCATCCTATATTATCTTGTTAATCAGTAATTTGTTAATCAGTAAGTTCCCAATGAAAATTTGTTGTGTGTAAACTCCTCTATATTTTCTGCTTCTCCTAGTTAGATGCTTCTGTATAAATAGATTTCTAAGTTAGACGATTCCTTTCCAATTGATAGTGAATTTGTGTAAATCAGTGTTTGTTTGATTGTTAAATTTGTTATGATGTGTAATTAATTTTCTAATGAACATTTGTTATGATGTGTAAATTGCCCGTCCTAGTGATTCCCTTCCAAGTAATAGTGAAGCTGTGTAAATCATTGCTTGTTTGATTGTTAATGAATCTTTGAGCCTTTATAAATCTTTAAGCCTTTAAGAATAATAATTTCAGTGGATGTTAAAAGTTAGTGTTTACCGACAAAATGAGAGTCAGAGGAAACCCATGGGTCCAACAATCAGGATATTACTAGTGCAGAGGATTATTATTATCTTCATAAGATCATCCTCTATTGTCTTACACACCTGAAAGGCACATTGAGTCCCCCACTCCAACTTTGCATCTGATAAGAGCAATGCTCTTACTTAGTAACCTGGTGAAGAACCAGATGGTATCCGGTGGAAAACAAGCACCATGAGGTTAAAGAGCCTGCAATGGACACCATCTAAGAGCACGAAGCCCAGGCATTAAGTAACAACCTGGTGAAAAACCAGATGGTATCTGGTGGAAAACCAGCACCGTGAGTTTAAAGAGCTTGCCATAGCTGCCATCTAGGCGACTAAGTCCAGGTGTTACTCATAGCTATGCTACTTCTCCTCCTTAAACATATGGAGTGTGCCCCAGCCGTAGCTGGGCTCACAAGGACTCACTAAGACACCAGGCCCTGAAGTGAGGAGACAGCAGCTGAGATAATCTTGGATTTTATCTCGTAGAGAAAATTTTACTTTCTCCTAACGGACACTTGTTGGACCAGTGAAAATCCTCTTGATTCTTATTCCATTAACTAAACAAAAGGGGGGAAATGTGGGGATATGTGCCATTAAAATATGGATGTATAAAGGCCTCTATGCTGCACAACATGTTGAGACTTGTCCCCAACATGTTGAGACTTGTCATGACTTGTTTTTCCAAACCCGTTCCGATTGGCTTGTTTACCTGAATTCCTCCTCCCTTGCCCGAAACTTATTGTTATTCACCCAATGCCCATTGTTCTATTATTTGCTTCACTGTTTGCTGTATTGACTATAAATAAACCCCTGGGACTGGAGCCGGGGTTCGACTCCTCAGAGTGACCCTCCTGGCCCTAGTTCTCTGTAAGAGTTGTGGAATTGGTTATTGTCTCCGCTGCCCCGACAACCGTCGCCGCTGTGACACAAATATGTGTCAGCTGAGGAAAGGATAAACAAAGTGTGGTATATCCATACACCAGAATATTATCCGGCAATAAAGGAACGAAGCACTGAAACATGCTACAACATGGACGGAACCTTGAAAACATAATGAAAAAAATCAGTTTCACAAAAGGCCACCTATAATGTGATTCCATTTCTATGAAATGTCCAGAACAGACAAGTCCATAGAGACAGAAAGTAGATTAATGCTAGGGGAGGAAGGGAGAGGGGGCTGGAGGGTTGGTAGCTAAATGGTCCAGGATTTCTTTGTTGAGGGATGAAAGTGTTCTAAAATTGATAGTGGTGATGGTTGCACAACTCTGTGAATATACTAAAAACCATTGAGTTGTACTCTTTAATAAAAAAAAAAAAAATCACTGTCATAGACAGACAGCGAAGGGCCCCCTGTGTTCCGGGAGCTTCTGGGCACACAGACAGCTCCAAGCCTCCCAGACACTGCACTCCAGCCTCTTCCTGTCTGTGGCAAAGGTTCTTCCCAGAAGAACAGCTCCAGGAAGTCCCAGAAGAGAAAAACAGCTGGCGTCCCTGCCACCACCCCTCCTCCCTGCCCTCTTCCACCACCCTCAGTGGAACCTGCTGGCCAGGGGCTCGTGTCTCCTCTGAACTTACGGTTCATGCCGATGTCGTGGTACGTGAGGATGACAGGCCGGTTCCCCTTGGGGGTCCCACAGAGTGTGACGTGAATGGAGCCATGTAAAGTCTCGATGTCCTGCTCCTGAGGAAAGATGAGCAGACAAGGGGCTTGTCAAGTGGGATTCACAGCATCTGAATAGCTGAATTACTTCCTGTAGACACCCCAGCATGCTCCAGGTTGGTTTTGAGAAAACTCCAAGTACACTTCTCATTTGACCATGAGACCTTGGGTTCAGGGTGGAGATCTCTCCAGCAGCTAGACCACTCCAAGAAATGAGGGAGGAAGGGGAAGGAGAGCTCAACCAAGAAGCAGAGGACAGGGTCCTGGTTCAGACTATGCCACATATTGCACAAAACTCAGGAAGGCACCAGCCCCAGGAGCCCTCTCTGCACAAGACCTTGTTTTCTCCATCTGGAATAGCTGAGGCCATTGAGGTATGTGCTTCCTTGATTACGTGTCCCATGTCTCACCTGTCCCACAGGTGTCCATACATGTGATGGACATTTGCTGGTTTGGGGCTGCCCAGAATTCACTCCCTACTTCCAAGAACATCCCCTATTTCCTTTGGGAATTGACCTCATTGCCACCCTTAGTCCAATAGGTCTGCTGACACTGATCCCTCCACCATGTTTCCTAGGCTGAAGCCAATCAGAGCATCTCACCTCCCCAGCTACAGTGGCTGGTTGAGGGAAAGGCACATGAGTTGGGTTATACCAGTTACAGCCAGCCAGACTCACTTCTAGCCCATTGTTGTTATGTGCCGTCGACTAAGTTCCAACTCATAGTAACCCTATACGACAGAGTAGAACTGCCCCCATAGGGTTTCCAAGGATCAGCTGGTGGATTCAAACTGCCATCCTTTTGGTTAGCAGCCAGGCTCTTAACCATTTGTGCCACCAGGGCTCCCACTTCTAGCTATTGGGAAGTAAATTACACTTGACCTAGCCAGGCTGGGAGGGCTGGATCTGCAGCAGCCATATTGTGACCATGAGGCAAGGGCCTGCCTGAAAATACAACCAGTCCAGAGATGGAAAAGAGAGAAAAGAGATCTTGGTGATGGCATCCACCACCTGGGAATTTCAGTTATGTGGGCCAACAAATACCCATCCACTTACGCCACTTTGAGCTAACCTCCTTCTGACCAGAAGAACCCTAACTGACACCACACCCATCCTCTCTTCTGCCCTCCATCTCAGAGGGTCAGGTCTCTCTTTTCCTGGTCAAGGCCAGTTCTTCAACCTGTGACCTGCAGCTGACTCCCTCAGCCAGACACCCCACGCTCCCCGTGCTAACCCTCTAACGGCGCCTTCCCAAGAGCTGAAGACATGGTCGTCTTTCTTCCATCCTAAAAACAAGTCACCTTGCCTTGATCCCAAGTGCCCCACCTCACCCAGGGGCCAAATTCCTACCTACCAATTTCATCTAAACTTCCCAAGAGGATGACAGTGGTACCCTTCCCCATCCATCACTTCCGTCCACCCTTCAGCCCACATTTCCCTTCAGTTTGCACCCACTCCACCGAGACGGCACTCCTTAGGGTCACTAGAAGCTTTCAAGGACCCAGGCAACTCATTTCACTTGAGCTCTTTCCCTGTCTGACAGCAGAGACCTCCCCTCTGTGACAGGCTCCCTGCCTGGGTCTCCACGGCTCAGGGCCCTGGCTCTCCTCCCTGGCCTGGTGTGGGAGAAGCTGCTAGGGACCTGACATCTATGACCAACCACCTTCCATCCAGGTGCTGGCTACAGCACTGAACCATCCCCTCCATATCCCTCTCCCTCACGAGAGCCCTGCAAAGGGCAGGTTACCCCAAGTCAGCAGACAGTGACAGGGAAACCAAGTCAGCTGCCCAGGATCCCAGAGTCCCTGGGTGGTACAAATGGTTAAACATTTGGCTGCTGACCAAAAGGTAGGAGGTTCAAGTGCACCCAGAGGCACCTCGGAAGAAAGGTCTGGTGATCTTCTTCTGAAAAAATCAGTCCCTGAAAACCCTATGGAGGGCAGGTCTACTCTGACACACTTTGGGTCACCATGAATCGGAATTGACTCCACAGCATCTACTTTCTCTGGGCCCCACAATTAGGAAGCAGCGGAGGCAGCGTCCACCCAGCCTGTCTGCCTCGACGCTCCCTCCACACTCTTCTTACTGCCTCACAGTCTGAGAGACTCTCAAAGTCAAACCACATTCACACCTCAGAAGGCCACCTCAGGTTAGCACGTGACATTTCTTTTCCAAAGAGGAAATGAGCCATCTGAGTGGAATACGGAACACGCCAGAAGCTGTCGAGCTGGCTCCCAGATGCCACATCAGTCACTGCTGCATTCAAGGAGGGAGGAAGGTCAGTTGTCCCAATCTCACACGGGAGGAGAAGGCCTGGGTGGGGACCACCCACCCACTCAGCAGCCCTGTGGACTTAGGGGGGTCCCCTCCCTGCCCAGCTCTCATCAGTACCCGGGGACCAGCCCCAGCACCTGCCTACCTGTCCAGCTCTCATCAACACACGGGGACCAGCCCAGTACCTGCCTACCCACTCAGCTGTCATTGACACACGGGGACCAGCCCAGCACCTGCCTACCTGCCCAGCTCTCATCAGTACACAGGGACCAGCCCAGCACCTGCCTAACTGCCCAGCTCTCATCAACACACAGGGACCAGCCCAGCACCTGCCTACTTCCCAGGGATGCTAGGGGGCCCAAAGGATCCAACAGACAGGACTGTACCCCATCCCTCAGCTGCTCTGGGGCTGTGAACGATTACTTCTAGGCAGTGAGATGTGGTGAGAACTGTGCGCACAGGGCAGTGATAGAACCCACCTCTGCTACTTCTCACCTATAAAAACTCAAATCAGTTCCATTTGACCCAATAAACATTTATTAAGTACCTATTATCAGCCTCCCTAAAGAAGCCCTGGATGCAGTGGTTAAGCACTCAGCTGCTAACCAAAAGATCAGCAGTTTGAACCCAGCAGCTGCTGTGTAGGAGAAAGACGTGGCAGTCTGCTTCCGTAAAGATTACAGCCTTGGAAACCCTACGGGGCAGTTCTACTCACAGCAACCCTGTGAGTCGGAATCCACTCGACGGTAGTGGCTTTGGTTTTTTGGTATTGGAATCCCTGGGAGGTGCAAATGGTTAAGTGCTCAGCTACCAACTGAAAGGTTAGCAGTTTGAACTCGCCCGAGGTGCCTCAGAAGAAAGGCCTGGCAATCTGCTCCCGAAAGGTCAAAGCCATTGAAAACCCTATGGAGTACAGTTTTACTCGGACACACATGGGGTCACTGTGAGTTAGAATAGACTTGATGGCAACTGGTAGTAGTAGAAGTATATGGCAGTTCCTGTGGGTCACTTGGGGAAGCTCGTGGGAGGGCCCGGGGACTTCCATAAAATGTGACCTGAGCTTGATACAGACACACAGGGCACTCTGGAGATAGTGAGGAAGAGGATTTAATCCATGTTGGGGGGTCACAGGGGTAGGGGGAGGCAGATGAGGGTAGCTCCCCAATCCTGTCAGACCAATGGTTCTGAGGAGCGTGGCTCAAAGATAAATAAATGCAGCCGCGTCCCAGGCTCCACCTCCAGAATCTGAAAGAACAGTATCTAGGGTTTAACTAGAACCCACCCCCACAGCCCAGGCAGCAGGATACAGGGAGCCACTGGCCCTCACTTTGAGAACCCCTAAAGCAAGCACCTGAAAGTCTCTGGGGGAGTCTGGGAAGTGGGGTGCCAAGGGTGCATCTCCCAGCCTCCACTCACCTCTGCGAGATGGGCAGAATAACCCTAACCGCCAGAGAGGCGTAAGCATTTACAAGGATGTAAATAGGGCAGAGTGTGGGGAAGACACTGGCTACCTGCTAGCGCCCCATCTCAGAGAAGAAAGGCGCGGCGGGCCCACTCCAGCACAGAGCTACTCCGGAGGCTTATCACAAAACCAGGCTCCTGGAAGACAGAGCCCACTCCTGTCTCCCGCCTCCCTCTCTCCTCCCCTCAGTGCCCAGAGCAAGTACTGGAAAAATCTACAAACAACAGAGCCATGGACCAGCCCCCGGTGGGGCCC